GTAACACGAGCCGAGCCATTGGTTAGCGAGCTGTTAGTTAGCTGAGCCGTTAATTAGCTCGGCTAAGCCGATCGGCTCACGGCTCTGCAGAGCCGTTTTGCATCACTACTATAAGCCCCATTACCAATCTTTTTAAACTTTTTAAAGTCATCAAATTTATACTCAGTAATTTGTTTTTCTTGGATTTTGTTATTAATCCAACTCCCGTGCATGTCGAAAAAATAAAGATCAATTCAAATGTTGAAATGAGTCAATCAGTTTATATCAACTTTCGTACGACATTGTCTTAATCTGCATTACTTATTTTAATGTTTATTCTAGTCTACTGTGCATACAAACAAGAATATCAATACTTTAACAGGAATTTTAAGAGAAATTCAATACGTAAACATTGCATTTTTACATAGTAAATTTTTTTCGAATTTTGGTCAAAAATAGGCATTTTCGGTGCAAAGTTGGCATGAAAATAAGCAACTTTAGATCTGACCTATCTATACATAGCTCGAAGTCCTACAATAACCAATTATTTTATAATACTTTTATCTAAAAATCATCATCATTTAGTATATAATTGGAAAGAATTAAAAAAAAAAAAAAATGCAGTTATTTTCTGTTTACCTTTCGATTTAATAAGGGTTCCACAAAATTAAATTGCCGATTGATGTTGCAACTGCCTAAAATTGCTAACTAATGTGCAAGATGACCAACTTCATTCAAGTTGCAACTTCAGACACAACATATATATTATTGGGAGTACAGTCAACTCTACACAAAATCCCCAAAATCCGAACTTATCCAAACCTTAATAAACTTTGTAAAAACTGAACGCAAAACTTCAGAACATTTATAAATTTATTATAAAGCTTTGGCTAGCAACATAGTAACTCTTTGAAAACTGAACTTTTGATATTTTTATATATAGGAATGGACTGTTTCGGAATAGAGAGCGCTGACTTGCTGTGCTTAATATAACGTTATTACGTATTACAGTATTAAGATTTTTGTGTTACGGGAAACGAAAAACTTTATCGGCTGCGGATATTGAAGTTCGATTGTTTGTTATGAACTACAATATTAGGGCAAACTTTTATTGTTGAACCTGAAACTTTGGAACGCTGTGCAGAAAACTTGGAAAGTTAAAGAGATTAGCAAAGATTAAAATAAGAGACATTGAAAGAAAGAAACGTTTCTTGCTCGACCAGGTCGTACGCTTCGCCGGGAAAACTTAACCACCTACAGTACATCGTTGGATATTCATTAACGTTCGGAAATGATTCAATTTTTAAAATTAAAATAGGGCAAAATTTCTATTTAATCTATTCTCGTTTTGGTACATATTTTGTAATACAATCAGATTCCTTTAAATGCAACACTAAATGCCCCCAAATGCACGCCCTCACTCGGGCCCAACTAATATAATGCAGTACTTTTGTATCATGGACCAACCACAGAGATTTATTTCTTTGTGAAAAATGAACAAGGTTTAATGATCTTTGTTAAACCGAATTAACTTTAACATTGGTTTTTTTTAGACAAATTCACTTATAAAATATTCGCATAGATTATATAATAAAAGATTTCAGATATAGTATAGAATAATATGCTAAATTTCTATCCGAACTATACGATAATTTTTCTTTTAAAAAACAAAAGTTTATTATAGCAGGTCACAATAAAAGATTAGTTTTTAAAAGGCTGAGTGTATAAGTATTCAATTATGGGTGATAGCAATCAAAATAACGATAAAGTAGGACCTGATATGCCTGAAGTCGAGGTGGACAAGAAAATAATTCAAGCAACTTCAGGATTTGGATACAACATCAATCATATAATCGGAGCTGGTATTTTTCTCAAAATTTATTTATATTAATCTTAAGCGATGAAGTTCATAATTCTTTATATTTTTTAAGGGATTTTTATAATTCCCAGCAGTATATGGAGGCTAGCACTATCGCCTGGATCCGCCTTAATGTTTTGGATTGCTGGTGCGCTTATAAGCTTATTTGGCTCCATGATTTATGTTGAGGTCATTAACTATAACATTATTTTTTAATTCCACTTTTGCTGCTGTTATTACCACTATTATCATGTATATTATTAAATTATTTTGTTTTTGTTTCAATCTTATAGTTAGGAGCCAGATGTCCCGATGGATCGGGTGAGCAAAAATATCTCGAAGAGGCGTTTGATAAAAAGGATAATAAAAAGAATAGAGTTGGATATATATTCAGTTTTTTTTTGACAACGTATGTACACATGCAAATGAATTGCTTAATGGAAGCCATTCAAAAATTCCGATATTCTCAATCTCAATCTTAAAAGCTCAAACCGAAATTTCAAAAGTTTAAAATTATTTGTCAAAGCAATTCGAAATTCCGACAAATCAATTTTATCAGCATTGTGGTCTTAAGCAGTATAGGTTGGCATAAATGATGCCTGACGCAATTGATGAATGACAAACTCTAATAAAATCATTATGATATTGCGTCATCTCATCATCTCATCTTGGTTCGTCAATTTCGCCTCGCATCACTAGTTGGAGTAGTTGTACTCAGATTAGAATCGGATTAGAATCGTCCAGATTCAGAATCGAGCTGCCCTAAATGAGAATTTTTGTAATAATTACAATAATTTTGCGTAATTTTGATTAAGTTTTTGTAAATTAGATTTCATAGAATCGATTTAATCATAACTTTGAACACGCGACAATTTAGATAAACTCATGATGAAACGACAAAATTAATGCTAGCCAAACTACTGTAAATTAATACTGGCTGGGCTTTTGTAATGCTGGTATTTTATATTCACATGAAAAAAAATCTAATTGATCGAAATTTACTTACGTATATATGTACGTGCGTAAAATTTATAGAATTTAATATAACGATTTATTATCATTTAAACCATAATTTTCATCCGGAACTATCTCGATCCTAAATCAGGGCGATTCCAATTTGGAGTACATGTACGTGACAATTATCAAACCTATATACGCTTATAAATTCGAAATCAAGGTATTTAGTGTCCTGAATACCAATTTCTTTGAATTGTCGGAAACTTTTGGGTGACTTTTGTCGGATTATGTGTATCAGTCAACCCTAAATGGTGATGAGCTGAGATGAATTTACTATAATGCAAAATCCAGAAATTTATAATTCAGATAGCTTAGTAACTAAAGCTCATTTTGCTATGGAATATATTCTACTTCAATGCAACGCTTATAGATAATGAGTTGTCAGGATTATAAATTTTGATATGACTTTAATCAAATCTATAATTTTAAAATTATATAACAATCACCTAATAATAATCCAAATTCTTAAAAGTGTAATCCTTCCCGGGCAAATTATAGCAGTTTCCAATGCGTCTGCTAAATACTTTTAAAGGAACTTATGAAAATGGAGATGCATATATTGATTCTCTGTAGGTTAGATTTCTTCAGTTCTGAATTACTCATGTCGTTTAGTTTAACCCTATTTTGTTTTTATGCATTATTTCGCATTTATACATTAGACCATCGCGGCTTTTATCTGTCACTTTTTTATTAATTATCACTATATACCAAATGTACTCTAATCGATTAGCAATCCAAATTAATATGGGGTTTGCCTTATTTAAATGCACTGCTCTACTTTTCATTTCAATATATGGCTTAATATGGTCACGAAACAATGGTGGAAATCTATGGACATTTAATAATACACCGTCAGACGAAGCATACAAGCTGTCTATTACAGAGTATATTGGTCATTTCGGCGATGCTATAATAATGGTATGTATAAAATATATCTTCCAATTTGTTTCTTAAAAACTTACATGAAATTCGAAAACACATAGGTTCTATTTTCATACGAAGGTGTGTTAATAAAGTTCTTGGCATTTACTGTATTTCTCCTAAAATAAACAGTCACAAAATAAACATCTTGCCTACTTTCTTTATAAAAATCTTGGCCAGAATTGTGCAAAAAAGGAATGTTCATTTTTCGGCGGAATACAGTAATTTCTAAATTATCAAAAACTGTTATTAATTAGATGTTTCATTATTGTACATATCAAAAGGGTGGAATAATTTAAATTGTAAGGCGATTTATTAAATTATTAATATTTAAAATGAAGTTAAATCTGATTGTTAATTACTTTTTTAGATTTAACTGAAGACTTAAATTCTCCAGAAGAAAAATTAAAAGTTCCAATCATTTCTAGTGTGATCGTTACTTTTATGCTTTGCAAGTTACACATTTATTTTTTAAATTTTATTTTATTCATTATACTCCAAAAGTATTTACGCTGCAATCATTTTTATTGTAGATTTTTTGATGAATGCAGCCTTTATAACAGTAGTCACACCTCATTATGCCATTAACTCTTTTGATGTTATTGCACTTAATTTTGGACATACATTATGGGGTGAGCCTGGAAGAAGATTTATTTCAATACTTATCTCACTTTCCGCTTTTGGATGTGTTGATTCAATTGTTTTTATGTAGGTTATTGAAATTTACAGTATACAATTAATATTTTACTACGTTCTTTATTGATTTAATTTTTTTAAATAGGGGTTCTCGAGCTATAGTATACGCTGCTAAAAATGGATTTATATCCGAAAGGCTATCAAATAAAAAACGGGATACCCCATTTTATGCTTTGCTCTTACAATTTGTTTATTGTGCATTTTTAATCCTTTTCTTCCCAATAGGCAACAACTTTTTTAATTTTTTTCATGTATGTCGCAGTATTTAGCTATGCTGTTTTATGGTTTTAGTGCAGTTTGTCTATTGGTATGTTAAATTGAATGTTTGAGTTTAAATCAATTTATCAAGTTACTTTAAATATTTGCTAATTTCAAAATAGGTTTTGAAGAAAAGGGAAAAGAGAGGTCAATTCAATCATTTTCAAGTACCTGAAATTTTAATTTGGTTTTATTTGTTATGTACAGTTCTTATTGCGGTAGCGCCGATGTTCCCAATTCCACCAAGTATATACGAACCACTTAGTTACGGATCCTTTGTGCCATTCATTGTCTCATGGATCGCTGTAGCAATAATTGTGAGCATTTGATATTTGGGCTATTATATAAATGTATTTAATAGAGTTAAAACTTGTTTAATAGAATGAGAGAATAAGCAGAATTTCCAAAAATTTTCACTTTTTATAAATAATATAATTTGTTTAACATTAAATTTTAAA